TATATATATATATATATGGTATCAGATTGATCTAATTTCTGTGCACTGAGGACAAGCCAGTCCTAGGTTACAAACTGAACTCTCCAATGCAAGAACAAGATGCATTTCTTCCTTTAGGAGGTGCTATTGTCAGAAGAAAATAAAAAGGTTTCAGTTTTGTTTTTGCATGTGGTTGGGTATTCTGTTTGTAATAATTGTTTGGATACACTATATTTTTAATATGCTAGTTGTGATAATTTCATGCCAAGTAAAAATGTCCATAGTCATATTTTATGTTCCTAAAGTAACAGAATGACTTTCAATCTAGAAAAGACAAAAGAAATGCTAATGTAGTATTTTTTCAATTTTTCCGAAAATTTCCGTTTTCCCCCAAAAAAAACCGGAAAAAAACCGGGGGTTTTTCCGAGCTTCAAAATTTCGGGAATTTTTCATCTCTAGGTGTTCTCCTATCCAAATACTTGCCAGGGTCAGCTCTGTTTAGCTTCCGAGATGAGGCTAGCTTGGGCTATCCAGTTCAGGGCTAACCAGGTAGTGGTCCTATCTGAGAGTGCACCAGAACTGGCCGGTGATGTGGCTGTTAAGGATTTAGTTGCCTATGAGAGAGGCATTATTGCAGGGAGCTTAGACAGTTCAAATGAGTTAAATTGCATAGGATAATTTTTGTACCAGAGAAACACTTTTGCATTGTTCAAATTCTGCTTGATTAATTAAACTGCCTTGTTTCTCTATCGTAGGCACTACCTTTGCACTTCTTGTTCTGGCTTTGGGATTTTTGCTGTCCGCTCAGGTTTCACCACAAGTTACTCTTAATCCTGAAGGCCCTTCAGGTCCAAACTCTAGCTGCACAAAATACAGGTGAGTAGCCATGATGATTTCCTCTTGAAAAATTCTTCTTTTCCTCTGATTCTTCTAGGCCTGTGTACAGTAAACCTAGTCAAGGAGTTGTATTCAAAACACTCTAGAGATCTTTGTTCTTTCTGTCACATGGTATCTTCTGTTTCAGTGCTGCCAGTGAGTAGTGTTGTTGTTAGATCCACAGATTCTGATTAGTAGTAATTATGCCTCCATGAAGACATTCTGGTCTCTAAACAATAACTTGTTTTTTATAGAGCAAAGCCAGCAAAATCTCAGGTTTAGTGCAGGGCCAGTGCCTATTTTAATAGAATGCTTTGCACCTTTAGAACTCTTGCTGATCCACTCTGTGCAACTTGATCGTAGATTCTAGAGTGTACAAACATTCAAGGAATTTTTGTTATTCTTGGTTGGATTCAAAGAGCCTCTTGTACAAATGGAATTCATGTTTGGTTGGACAAGGAGGTAGACCTCTTTT